ATATTTAACACATTTTAGGTATGATCCTTATTATTATAAGTAGTCAAAACAGAAATTCAATTTTGTGTCTTCTAATCTAGTAAAAAAAATCTAGTCCTTTTGGAATAGACTTGTAATTGCTTATCCAATATCCATTCTATTTTTCTTCCTTATTAACAAAACTACATTTTGTGGTGTAGCGTCCACTCAGTTACCTAGTGACAACTCCATTCCAAATTAAAATAATTCATGAAATATACAAGGAAAAGTTTTGGGATGGGAATTAAGGGAAAGTTCCCTAAAGAGAGTCAATTTAGTCTTTTCCTCCTTTTCCTGCCAATCTAGAATAGATTGTGATGGCTGGACTTAGCATTAATTCTGACACTATGAGAAAAAGAACATAAGGATTTTTAAGATCCCAAGCCTGGCATTTTTGAGCATCTAAACCACTATCACCAACTGCCTACCTCAGCCTTCTTATTAAAGAAGAAAATTAAACCATTTTGTGTTTATTCCAATATAGTCATGTCTCTGTTACTTGCAATTGCCTAAGATGCCCCATTAATTAATTTTCCACTTAAGAGGCAAAAAGCTTAACATATTTATTATCCACTATTACCCAAAACACTGTTTAGTAAAACTCTTCTCCTTCTCACCCCCTTAACATAATATTATTCGTTTTACCAGACATGGTGATTTCAGAAACACCTTGCCATTTCAGGAAAAGTTGATAAGGACTCTATTTTTCATAAAATCAATATCTAAAGAATATTGTAAGGTTAACTTTGGGAGAAAAAAATATAATGAACTATCATTCACATTGATGATTTAAGAGTCATAAAATGTCTAGGAGCAGGGATCTAACCCTCTGCTATAAATAAGTAGCAAAAATTACAATTATTTTCAAAGGGAAGTAGGGAAGTAAAGATACTTCCATTGGGATCTCATACCCTGCAATGAGAACACAGAATTAATGGATGCATCTTTCTTCAGTTTTCCCTGCTGGCAAGAATAATAGCCAATGGTACATTGCCTTCCCATTAGAGTTAGTAACCTCCAGAGAGACTGTAAAGGCAAAGAGCATTCCACAAAGTTGCTATTTGATAAGGGTCATTGGTGAGTATATCGAGTTTCTTCTCTGTGATTTCAGAGGGAGAATTTACAAGATATTATGGCTGCTTATTTGCCTATGAGAGGCTGATCTAGAGATTTCATTTATGGATATGTTAGAAGCTCATATTGCTGCATTGCAACTGATTTAATATATTTTAAAATTTAAGGAAAAAAAGGCTAAGATGCAAACCTAGCTCTGCCCAGGGGAGGACTACCTATTGTGTTGGTTCATTACCTGAGTGAATAACAGGAAGCTGTTCAGCTTCTGTGTTAAGGTTGATAAGCCAGCCTGTTTATTTTGAAAGTTCACATGCCGAAGATATGCTACAACTTCTAACACTGCAAAAAGCCCTCTTGGAATGTTAAGCTCTGAGGTACATACTGTCTACACATGTGAGGCAGCACTTTAGATGCAGAGTTGAATTGTACACTCATATATACACACACACAGAACTCCATCCTTCAATCTCAACAGACATTTTGTGATATCAGATGCTAGAATAGCAAAAAATATGGCCAACTTAAGACTGTTGACAGTACTTTGGAAGGGCATCAAAATAATCACCCTAAAAATATATATATTAGCATCCATTTAATGCTGAGAATCTGACATCTATTTCATACTACTTTAAAGCTGGAAGAGATATCATAGATTGTTTCTGCTATTAATATACTTTTCATATAGATAGTTTGGAAGAACAATTTTTAGCAAGGAACTTGAGGTTTATTTATAATATTGTTACTAATATGTGACAAACTGAACCAAGTTTTCCTAGTTAATTTTATAAACATGTCAGTTATTGGTTACTCCCTACTTCTTCCTTCAAACCAGGAAGTTTTCATCTTAAAATAATTTATCTGCTTTTATATAGCTATGCAAAAGAAACGAAGCATATATAAAACAAAGCATTTTTTTATTCTTTAAGAAATTTGATATTATCAAATAGCTTATTCCATTTCATCATTTGTTATTCACTCAGAAAATAATGGTTGAATTCCTACTTTCTTCAGGACACTGCTACAAGATTTAAGACTTTTTGTTGTAAACTGCTGTCAATATAATTAAAGGAAAGTGGAAATTGATCTCTTTTGAGCCGTTTAAAATATTTGAGCAAACTTTCTTTCAATTAAGCTTAATTACTCAGACTAAAGAGAGTGATGAGAGTAAGACAGATTGGTTAAAACAAGGCTGGGAAGCCCCTAGAAAATCCATATTTGGTTTTGGATTTGACAAATCACTTGAACTAGTTTATGAACCAGAGTTTATAAGTGCATCTCTCTATATATCTCTTTTTGGCAGAGAGAGAGTCCATAGCCTCTAATTGAATGCCCCTAATATATGCCACCTCTTGTCCACTTCTATTGTAAAATCACTGCTGTAAAGAAACCTATTTCAGAATCTTTCTCTAGTACATTACTTTTGTAATTGCCATTGAACCACTGGTAATGCTACTCTGTGGGGATGAGCAAGTGTTGAGAAGTAAAGACCCCTTTGAAAAATTTGTGGAGGATGGTATTGAAAGAATCACAATAAACAAAATTGTCTTGCTTTGGGGTCCCAAGCACTTCATGGACAGCTTCTAAAATAACTCATACCTGCATGCAAAGTCCCAATTTCCCCAAACACTGAGACCCATGATTCTTATATCTAGATATTTAAAAATTTAGAATTATATTTGAATAGATATGATTGGAAGGGCTATGGGAGAGGTATTTCAAGGGATGGGAGAAAGGAAGAGTATTAAATATATTGGAACAGTATGACTTTAGAACTCAAATAAACCATAACTATGTTTACAGACAAATTGAAGTTTTCATTGGGTTTAAGGAGAGTGATTCAGGGGACTATCAGAGACCTTGCTGCAGGAATTAGGAAAGAAGTCCTAATGAATTTGAGCATTAGTTTCTGGCCTCAAGCTTAAGTATATTTGAGTTATAGAAACTAGTTAGAAAGTTATTTTATTAAAAATTGTAAAATTATTTCAAGTATTAATGTAAATCATGGTTAACTGAGGTACATTAGATCTTAGTTTGAATACACAAAACTACAGTAAAATCTTTTCTAAGCACTGTTATTGTAAAGTTGTCTTTGTTAATAAACATTACTAGTAAAAACTGAAAAGCATATATTAGGTAACACAGAAGTGAGAAAAAAGGATGAATTTAGAAATTATACATCACCCCGAATTGAAACTTGAAGCCTATAACTTTATCTTTAAAATAGGATGTAGGTTTCATATTGCATTTTAAATTAATAAACATTTATTTTTTCTAAAGCTAACGTATTGATATTATCATGCTCTTACTTCATATAAAGTGAGTTTAAACTGTTTCAAAGCATTTTATATTCTTGCTGCTGTGATCAGGGTAAAAGTATGTTATGCCTTGTAACATACATAGTACAGGAAAATACCATTGCTGTATTCCTGTCTACCACCAACCCCCCACCACCAAATTTTGGAAGTAGCATTAGATCTTTTTGGCTATCAAGGTATTATCTAGTCTACTGAAGCAGTACATATTAAATAGTCAGTAAAGTACTGCCTATTTAGAAGTTAACTGCCTTTGGAAACTGTATCAGCTGTTACAGGTCACCAGGATAGTATTAAGTTACTGCTTCAGTGCACTAAATAGTACTTGCTGGTTTGAAAAAAGCTCTGACTTATGACTAGGGATGAGAATGCATATAGGATGAATCAAGTTCATCTAGGGAACATTTACCTTAGAACTATATCTTAATAGACTGGACTTCTGAGCCTTCATTTTATTAAGTGGATAATAAGATTTTTGGTTTATATGGAAACTTTAAAACATTACCACTTTGAGTCTCAAGCTGTTCTTTTTTTCTGGTTTTTCTCTTCTAACAGTTAAAAATACAAGATGTTTTTCACTACCTTTAGTGTTAATACCATTCACAACATGTTGCTATGTGTGTTTTAATAATAGAAAAGAATTATTAAATTACTGATATAGTAGGTTTTGAATTGACTAAAATTCAGGTCTGAAATAGAGCTTTCAGTGGTATTTTGTTTTTATGAATTTGCATCTTTCCAACTGAGTTATATATAATTAGTTCTTCTCTATACATGTATAATATTTCCAAATAGTGACCTTAAAAGCAGCATATATAATTAGAAGGAAAGGGTCCCTTGGTAACACTAATTCAAGGAACTTTAAAGGGTTTATAGAGAAAGACAAATACTGTATGATTTCACTTATGTTTGAAATCTAAAAAACAACTCATAGAAAGGAGAGCAGGTTGGGGGTTGATAGGGTGGGTGAAATGGGTGAAGGTGGTCAAAAGGTACAAACTCCCTGGTATAAGAAAAATAAGTTCTAGGGTTATAATGTACCGGAAAAAAAAAAAAAAAAGCCCTCCACACACACTTAGCTGAAGGCTGGTCCCTGGAATGTGGGCCTGGCTGGCGGGAGGCTGTCCAGGCAGCAGGTCAGCATGAAACAAGGTACCGAGGAGGACAGGGCTTGACATCTGTTCCAGAAAGAGCCCACAGTGAGCCAAGGCCCCAGGCAGGACCACGTGGCTGGGGGGGAGCTGTCAGGTCTGGAGTTAGGACACTGGATTCCGTGTGAAGAACCACAGGGAAAAGCCCGCAGAGCAAAAAGCAATGGGCATCCTACTTAACAAGGGAGATTTATTCCAGAAAATAAAACTGTCAAGATAAAAATAAGCACTTTACTAAAATCAGTAGCGAGCTCCAGTTTTCAATTATTTTACTTAAAAAGATCTTTGGGGTGCCGTGGGTCTAGCACTACCGGGTTTCAGAAGCTGGACACACTGGCTGATGGGGACCGAGAATCAGGAGGGAGGGGTCTGTGAAATCCCACCCTAGATGACCAAGAACCCATGGTCTTTTGACGCGTTCCTGCCCATCTCCTTGACTATTCGTTTAGACGTCTGCCACATGAGGACAGGGATTGGTCCCGCTGGTCCTGGCAAAGGGCAGTGCCAGCACGTGGTCCAGGGAGATGCTCAGCTCTCCCTCGCCTGAAGTCACATACACGCGACGCCCTCTGTCCGCTAGGGCAGCAGCCGTTCTAATCACGCTCCTTGGACAGAACCCATATTGCTGCAGTCAGTGGTTCTAGAACATAGTACCACACGGAGCCATGGAGAAATGATGCCTTGTAAGTAAAACATACTTTATCAAGTATGTAACCAAAGGCTGACGATTGAAGACTTCCTTTTCTAAATTAAAGATACCAGCCTTATATGTTATCAAGTAAACAAATAACAGTTAAAAAAAAAAACACCCCTAAAGCAGTCTAAGTCCACATAATGAGTTTTGGGGAGAAATCACTGTTTTCTTTCCAGGATTTTAATTGGAAGAGTAAATAACTCAGAGCAGAGAAGGCAGTGTTCCTGGAAGCCCTCGGCTCTGCTTAATTAGACATGCTCTGTCCTTCTTGAGTGCACAACTACAGAATTTTTAGGAAAAAAGATTCCAAAGTGGAATTTCAAAAGCATCCCCACATACCATGGCGTCTTGAGAAGTCGGCTGCCTACTGATTTGTCCACAGTCATCCCAACTTCTAGGAGGCCAGCAAAAGCCCAACGTGGCACACACAGAGAAAGCAGTCAAGCAGTGTGCCTATGGCTCGTCCCCCCAGGTTTATTCGGGAGGCCACACACCCCGCTATGCTGCGCTTGCCTTTTAAGACGGCACCTCTTCTGGAATTCCCCTCCCTTCTCCTCTTCAGAGTCAACCAGTAGGAGTAGCTAATAAAATGCGTGACTGCAAAGGGAAGGACGGAAACGAGCTGCCTCTCAGCAGCCCCAGCCAGCTCTGTGAACAGGGACCAGCGGGGCCCTGGCTCAGGCGGCTGGAACCCTGGGCTCGGGGTGGGGGGGGGG